GGCAATAGAAGCATATGGGGTAAAAACTCATTTCAATTAAAGTTGGGACGAGGGGTATCATGGAGGCAGAAGGGACTGGGGTGTTCTCACTGAATGGGCACCAGGTGGGGGGGCTGGCACACCTTTTCCATGGGGGACATAACCACAAGGTGAACTCTGCCTAACAAAATCAATTATTTTGACCTGGTTGCTCATACCCCAACATTAACCTGAAATAAATTTACTTAAAAAAGAAAAAAAGACAAGAAAAGAAATTTATGTGGGAAAAGTCAAACCCAGTGTTTAAAAGTTAAAAGCTCCTACTGGGTATGTTGGTTCATGCCTATAATCTTAGCATTCTAGGAGCCTGAGATGAAAGGATCACTTGAGCCCAGGAGTTCCAGGCCAGCTTGAGCAACACACTAGACCCTGTATCTACAAAAATTAGCTGTGTATGGAAATGAACTAGCCTGGAGTCCCAGGCATTTGGGAGACTGAGGCAGAGGATCACTTGAGCCCAGGAGTTTGGGGTTGTTGTGAGCTATGATCATGCCATGGCACTGTAGCCAAGGCAACAGAGCAAAAGATCCTGTTTAAAACAAAACCATACAGGCTCGGCACCTGTAGCACAGTGGTTAAAGCACTGGCCACATGCACCGAGGCTGGTGGGTTTGAACCCAGCCCGGGCCAGCTAAAGAACAATAACAACTTCAACAGCAAAAAAAAAAAAAAAAAAAAAAAAAAAAAATATATATATATATATATAGGCAGCGCCTATGGCTGAAGGAGTCGGGCGCTGGCCCCACATACTGGGTTTGGCGGGTTGAAGCCCGGCCACAGACAAAAACTGCAAAAAAAAAAAAAAAATAGCCAGGCATTGTGGCGGGCGCCTGTACTTGGGAAGCTGACGTAAGAGAATTGCTTAAGCACAAGAGCTTGAGGTTGCTATTAGGTATGATGCCACAGCACTCTACCAAGGGCGACATAGTGAAACTCTGTTTAAAAAAAAAAAACAAAAACAAAATAAAACAAAACAACCCCCCCAAAACCCCAAATAACACTAATATACAGCAGTATATAATTCAGACTTAGGGTGAAATATATAATATGAAATACCAAACTGTCAAGACATATTTTACAAATCAGATAAATTGTTTATAAAATTCACAGACGTTTTGAAGATTATACTGCTTTTGTGAATTATATAGTTATTATTTATATAATTATTTCTGCTTATATAGTTATTATTTCTTTAATGAAATCTATTCTAGAACACTAATAAGCATGAAAGTGAAATTTCATCCATGACGCACAGAATGTTTTTAACTATAACAATACTTAATAGGGGCTCGGCACCTATAGCTCAACCGGCTAAGGCACCAGCCATGTACACCTAAGGTGGCGGGTTCGAATCCCCAGCCCGGACCTGCCAAAACAACAATGACAGCTGCAACCAAAAAATAGCCGGGCGTTGTGGCGGGCGCCTTGTGGTCCCAGCTACTTGGGAGGCGGAGGCAGGAGACTCGCTT